AAAAAAAGCAACACGGCTGCAGCGGCGAAAGAGAGAGAGTTAGCTTGGGGGAAAATAGCTGCCCGAGTCAATGCGTACGTTTACATTTTAATCAGTGTTCGGTGTAAGTAATTACTAAATAATGTTAGTATTGTTATTATTTGTCACTTAATTTTCAAAGTCTGACATTTTGTAATTAATTTGTTCTCAGACCTGCCATATCCTAGTGCTAAACGTCTTCAAATAGTTCAGAAGGCTGCAGCTAGAATTTTAACTAAATCCTGACAATTTGACCATAATATACATCCACTGGCTCTCTATGTCAGAGCAGACTTTAAATTCTAACATAAAAAAATCCTAAATAGGCATGCCTCTTCATCTGTATGACCTGACTTGATTTTAAACCATAATTTTGAAAATAAAACTAGGTAATAAAAATGTCAGGACAATAAAACAATGTCTGTCTCAAGCCATTACACTGTAATAATATATTCATGCTAATATTCCTGCTTTTTAAATTAAATGTCAACAAATGACACTGGTTATAACAAATCAGTATAGTAAAGCAAATGATATCACAGAGTATGTTGAAAGGTGAAATAAAATGTTTCTTTACTTAAACTCCAGGCACAGTTGAACTTTCCATGTACAGAAGAGAATGAATTAACTTAATTACATTTTCCCAATTATGAGAAGAAAATCCTTTTGTTATTATAAATCAGTCAGAGAAGAGAATGGCTTAAAAAGTCCTCTAAAATTTTAATTAAAATGTGTTATTTAAAATTCCCTTTAATCAAATTTTATGAAAATGAACAGTGTGCTTCATTATATCACTTTCGCTCTATTTATGTTGCCCCAAAGTACTGAATAGTCACTTGTTGTCAAAGGTATCTCTGTCATGTCTTTTTCATGAAGATACAATATTTAGATAGTTAGGTATTTGTTCCAATTGTTGGACCCAGGCGTAATATTCTTACTATTGTTAGGCTTTATGCAGGAATTTATGACACAAAATTTTGTAAATTTTATTCTTTATGGAATACCAATAAAAGATGTGGCTTGGAGAAATACTGAAATAATAATTTGTTAGTACTTGTTGCTAGAAAACAAACAAACAAAAAAACATATACTGTATGTTACTATAACATGTTACACAGTAGTGCCCAGAAGAAATCTATTAAGTATCTATTGGCTCTGGAGATGATCCAGTGTCCAGTGGTCACTGTGTGTGTAGGGATTACTGAGGAAAGGGAATTTTTATGCATTAGTTTCTGTAACTGTGCAGCTCAGTGTTGCTCTGTTGGAGTGTGGCTCCTGGACACTCACCCAAGACGGGTCGAACATGTACGTGAGTCGATGGTCTTCAAGGTCATCCTCCTGTTTGGCCTGCTGGAACTCATGCCTCAGCCTTTGTATCCGGTCATGGTTACTAGGAGCCATCTGACTTCTGGGAAAGAGAGAAAGACCAAGTATGATATGGGATTAGCTGTTTTGAATCCAAATAGCACTCTGACTGGTTATTTAGTGGAAATTTTTCGACAAGCCCTCACTCAGAAATAACACCTGGTAGAGGAGCTAACATGTTATGATGCTTTCTCATGTTTGAATAATTCACTTGACCACAGTAACACGCCCTCAAATTTGTGCTGAGGATCCTTTGATCTGATAGTCATGGATTCCTTTTGCATAGCTGCAAAACTCTACATGCTTTTGCTTCCTGCCCTCTATTGCTCCTGAACATCCTAATAACTGCAAGTGTTCTCCATGCACCATTGTGAGTGTGAATGTCCCTTTTAGACTGCCAGAGAATGTTGGGCTTTTACTGTACGCAGTCATTGAACACTGTAGAAATCTTTCATTTACATCCCCTTCATCAAAGGGCTTTTGAGAGGCCTGTCAATAAGAATCAATAACCTTCACTCAGCCTAATCAAGGTCTTCTTTTATCACCAGCTACAGAGGCAGTACATGAAAAAAGCATAATTATGATGAGACAACAGGCTTGATGATAGGTCTGCATACCAGAGAAATGAAAATGGCCAAAGGTTAGGAAATGGATGGGAGATGGGAGCCTAGGGATGTAGGGAGTGGTATAAATAGCGTGGGGAAAGGAAAATGAGGAGTGTTCTTAGTGATGATGCTGAGTGAAAAAAATGGTTAATCAAGAGCATTAGTAAAAAGGGGGAAAGAACAAAGTGAGGCAGGATAAAGTAACTGAAATCACCAGCAAGATAGAGAGCAGATAACAGGTAGATGAATAGACAAGTAAGGGGAGACAAAGACAGAACCGCTGTCCAAATGGACCAGTCATCTTGTCATCAATATGCATGTCCTCTGGAGTACAGGTGACATGGCAGCAGTGGAAGTGATTGCTTATTTGGATCCAGATGATTCTAGCTGCAATTATAGCAACAATTGCACATTACAACGAGCACCCTTCTGGTAATACTGGGCACCAGGGCATGCTGCCAATCAACCTTTATTAACAGCACATGAATAGGATTCACAGATCTTGCTGAATGCCCCTAAGTAGCACTTGGTGAGTCACAGTTATTGTGCTATTTGTGTTGCCTGCTCAAAATCAATTGTATTAGTTGTACTCCATTTGATTCCTAGCTTTATGTGTGAGGCAACACAGGCAGGTACATTAGGCCTTTTGTTTAGATGTGGGGAATTAAGTGGGTCACTGGAGTATGAGATGACTTGTGTTTCAGGTTGTGTGGTGATGATCCTTTTATTTTATGGTATAACAAAATCAGAGCCCCCTTTATATTTGCATGAAGCTGCTTAAAGGTGCATTAATTAATAACAAACCCCTTGTGCACACAATCTCCGCTCTCTTCCTAAAACTCTCATCACAGCAGTGAAGCCACCCTCATCAAAGTCTCCAACAACCTTCTCCTCTCCATACTGTACTCCATACTGTATCTCTTGACCTCCTTTAACACCATCAGTCATGCCACTCTCCTGTCCTGCCTGCAAACAGCTCTCTGCATTATGGACACTCCTCTCAAATCTTATCTCTCTGATAGACAATACTGTTTTGAATGACATTTTGGTGAATGAAGTTTTTCCATGAACAAAGTGGAACACACCCTGGATACAATCTGTTTGAACTCCTCCCCTCTGGACGGCGTTACAGGTCACTGTGCACTAAGACAACCAGGCACAGGGACAGTTTTTTCCCCCAGGCTGTCACTCTGATGAACACTTAACCCACGACAGTATGACTGGACAATAACCCTCAGTGCAATACCTGTAAATATACATTGTACAGATTATACAGACTCGTACAGGTCTCTAGTACTCCGTTTTAAGTACTCTATTTTTATCCCTAATTATCTCATTTCAGTGAACATTCCCTTGTTGTCTGCACTGTTTACTGTCTGTCTATACTGCTTTTTCTGCATTGTTTGCACTGGTTGTTGAAGTTAATACTGCTATTTTGTTATATTACACAGCCATATGCTGATTTACTGTTTGCACATTGAGAGTCGATGTACCTGAGTCAAATTCCTCGTGTCCAACACACCTGGCCAATAAAATGATTCTGATTCTGATTCTGAACATGAAGCCAAAGAGTATATGGTAATTTTTTGCTGTTGATTGTTCTATTTTCAGGTATTACTAATACTAATGATGACAGTAGACTCCTGCCTAATGTCAGCTGGGATTAGCTTTAGACCTTCTGCAACCCTCTACAGTAAGTGGTTCTGTATATCTAAAGATTTCTAATTTCCTCAGTGATATTCAGAATTAAACAAGCCGGCAGGTGGCGGTAATGCACCTTCGGTTGGCTTTCAAACCGCCAACAAACCGCCAATGAACACCAGAAGAAAAAGAAGAAGAAGAAGAAGAAGCTATGGTCTGGGTATTCCTGTGTTTATGCCTTAGCTACACAGTACATAATGCAAATGAGAGGAAAACAAAAACAAAACATCTGCAATTCAGAAGTATTTTTCTCCATGTTTTCCAAGTGCATGCCTACTAATACATGTGTTGACATACAGCACCTGCCATCATCCCTGTTTGTTGGAACAAAAGGTTTGACAAGACTGCTATGAGTCAAAAAAAAAAAAGAGACCAGACAGATTTTGGAAACCCAGTACATGCAATTAGCTTAATCCCTGAGGTTGGTCAAAGGGAAGCCAGTGCAAGCTGACTCCAAACAAATGTTTATTTTTGACCTTCCAGGGAGGGTCGGCACTAGTATCAGCATCTCCAAATGCACCACTGATGTACCAGGTGATGCAGTAGGAGTCATAGGGTCACAACCCGGGCACTAAACAAGACTACACACATTACATAATAAGGCCTATCACCCTTCTCTCACTCACATGGCCTGTACATTACCAAAGATGTGCTCCAGTATGTGGCAGATAAATTGATGGGGTATGAAATGGGAGAAGTTCAGTGAAGACAAGATCTCTAGCAAATTAAAGAATTATCAGTACAGCACTTCAATGTGTTTTCTCAAAGAACTACAAATGGAAATTGTATCAAGAAGAGGCTGGGATTGGAGGTGAGATTTAACTAGGGTTAAATTTGTCATGGTATATTAGGCCAGTGCAATCTCCAAATTTTCTGCAGGATTTCCTCCACTTGGTTGTAGTTTTCTCTGGGCCCCTGCCTAATCTGACCAGTGATGACATGTTTAGCCACATGTCGTCATTCAACTGCTGGTTGTCTAGGTGGTGCCCAGAAAATAATGTGGGCTTCATAGATAATAGGAAAACATTTTGGGGAAAATCTGGTCTGATTAGCAGAGACGGCATCCATCCCACTTTGGGTGGTGCGGCTCTCATATCTCTCAATCTGGAATAGTTTATTTTACAACCTAAATTATGACAACCCACAGTCGAGTCCAGGACGTAGGGTTGCAGTCTTACACGCCTCTCTGCTGTCTCCTTGCAGCTGCTACCCACCCAAAACTCCCAGTACCCCATAGAGACTGTGTCTGCCCCCCACCCACCTAAATTATATAAATCAGGAGTCAACTCCAG